GGGTCCTTGGACCCTTAGGGTGTGCGATGACAGTCCCGCCCACGGTCTTTACGTGGGTTTGCAGGCATAACCTGGGCGGCGCAGGATTCTACAAGCCGATAGAGCGACCCGGATGAAACAGTGATTGCGTTCTGGAACAGCGTCGGACTGCCACCTGCAGGCGTCTGCTCGGTCTGACGAACGGTTGCAGGCGCGCGAACGAACTGGCGATGTGGACATGATGATCAATAAGATCCCCATAAGTAACCTTTTCAATGTCCTGACAAGAAAAACAGTGCTCTTGATTCTAAATGTTTGTATATATATATATATCTCTCTNNCCCTCCCTCCCTCCCTCTCTCTCCCGCAATGTTTGGTCCCCAGTTTGAACCCCCAAGCAGCCAGTAATTGATGTCGAAGAACCTTTATTTCCTCAAAAGGAGAACTTTAAACGTTTTTGGGGTTGTATATTTGGTGTTTATAAATGAGCTTTGAGTTAGTTGCTTTTGGACTTCGTTATTGAAGAACCCTAGGCCCTAAACCGTGGAGAGTAAACCTTCAGAGAGGACATCCCGGACCACAGGGACCTCCACGTGACCTTCCCAAAGGCCGAGGCGCCCAGCAAGATGCCCGGCAAGCCTAGGGGGCTTGGATTTTGGGGTTCAGGCTCTCAACTTGAGGGTTGGAGCTTTTAACCCCCTACCCTTAACCCTAAACCCCAGGGTTTTGGAAGTACTGCTTTGGATACAGGGATAAAGTACACTTTTTCTCTCTTTTTTTTGATCATCTGATTGAGCTTGAATATTAGGAAAAAGTGTCCCCTTATTTCTAAGGGGCTACTGGAGAGCCTAGAACAAGGGCATAGGATTTAGGGGCAGCAGTTATACGGGATTACATGATAGTTGCAGACCAAGGGCCCAAAATCAAGCTTCTGGGGGTTTAGGGTTTAGGGTTTTTCGGACAGTTGGGATGTGGGTTATGCAGACTCGTGGTCCTGGTAGGTCGGAGGCTTGAATACAAGGGTGAAGTGAAGATCCTACTTGTGGTATATGGCCGGACTAGATGGGAGTTCCCCAAAATGGAGGGACCCCAATATAGACCCTCTATCCCTATTTATTGTAATTCTTATGATGGCGACCCCAAACCAGTATCCTTGATTTTGGGAAACCCCCATTCTGGTTGTAAAGAGAAACGATAAGGAGACCACCAACGAGCTTAAGGTTTCTGGTTTAGGCGTGTAGCCTAAACCCTAAACCGCCATAGGGTCGTGCCTGGTGGTCCACAATCCCTACACCCTAACCTAAAACCAAGTCTCTGGCGGTAGAGTTTGGCGTTTTTCATGTCGGCTGTTGGGTTTATGGGCGTTCACCGTACATGAAGCATGGAACTCCACACAGGCCACGCTTAAAAGGATCGGATAGTAGTCCAAAAGGGCTCCTTTCATCAGGGTTTAGGGTTTAGGATTTAGGGTCAGGGTTTTAGGGTTTTCGGTTTACATGTTGAGGGGTTTAGCATGCAGGATTTAGGATTTACGGCTTAGGATGTACGGTTATAGGGTCTTGGTTTTACGGAGTTGTTCCCAATCCCACAGAGCGAGAAGCTCCTAGCCGTCCCTTCAATGTGAGGCTTTAGACTTTAGGGCCTTTCTGCAAGGTGTCAGAATTATGGTTTCTGTTTGGGTGTAATACGATACGGCCGTCAAAGTTGTCGGTTACCCGCACAACAGTGCCAAACCTAAATTCTAAACTTTTGAAAGCCCTCCATGTTGCGTTGCCTTACCTTGGAGGAGGTGAGCCATCAGATAGGCTGTCGAATCATGCTTGCATTTTCTGGAAACCCCTTGTGTGGTTCCCTTTTGAATTGGTGTTAAATCTGTAGCCTTATATTGCTTCTTGAGTTTGGGCACACCGGAAATTAAGATAATGTCCAGCCGTTGCCCACTGTTAGTCTATCTACCCAATTGAGGGCCAGAGGCTGTCGAGCCTTCTATCCTCCTCGGAGGAGATGGTAGCTGATCCCGTTCCAGGGGTTCCCATGATGGAGATCAGTGTAACTGGCGTCTATATGGGGGCCCCTTGTTTATGGAAACTACCAAAATCTGCCCGCAGAAGCTGAGCTTAAGATCAGACCACGCTGTAACAGTCCCTGTTTAATGCCGTACCATAGCCACCACGACTTGTCTGGGGTACTCTTACTGAGCTGCTGTTAAGTCTCGAAGTTAAACCATATTATGGTGCACAGTAACTATGGGGTTTCCTGGCTATATTAACTCAAGAAGAGTTCCTTGATAGCAAGCCAGCTTAGGGAGCTTAAAAGCCTAAGCCTAGATCCAATACTGGAAGTCTGGACCCTTTGCTTTTGGGTCTGGCCCCTTGAGGTTATCTACAGGTATTCAGGGATCCCATTCAGGGCTAAGGGATTAGGGATTAAGGTCCAGAGTTTAGGGCTCAGGGTTCGTACTTCAGAGCCAAGGATCAAAAAGAAGAGCGAGGGCCAAAAGGAGATTGTCGACCTGCGACCCGAGAATGGTGCCTGAGCTACCAAACCCTAAGGGTCCAAGTACCTAGCAAGCATATACTTACCCAAAACCTTTACTAGAATTACTATTGCCCAAATTCCAAGAACCTAATTATTGGGTACTTGGATTCACCCCTTCAAGAGGGGTTCAAAGAGTTCAGGGTTTAAACTCCTCGAAAGGGGTTTTATAGGGTTAAGATTTAGGGTCTAAACTCCTTAAACGGCGTTTTATAGGGGGTCATACAGGGGACTGCTAAAGGGGATATTAAAGGGTGATACTTGGACTTTAGACTGTGGCTCACATAGGCCCCCTGCGAAAGGAGCCCTAAAACCCCAGGCCCGATTGGGGCTTGATGGGGAAGTTAGCTTTTTGGACGCCCATCTCAGCGCTATGATACTGCAAGGGCTCATAGGGATTCTTGTGGGGTTCTGTAGGTGTAAACAGGCGTATGTAGGGTTTAGGGTAGATGCCTGAAGGGGTTTAGGGTAGATGCCTGAAGGAATCAACCGGAAGCAGCAGAAATGAAATGGAACCTGGGATTGCGGTTATACTGTAGCAGGAAGGTACCAATACTGTTCCTTCAGGTTTTGTAACCCTTCTATCTTGTTCTCTCACATACCCGTCCCATCTTCAACACGTGAACCCTAAGCCAACTAGACGCTAAGACCTCTCTCGCTAAACCCTGTGACTTCTCAAAAGCCTAAACTCTCAAATCCTAAACCCGTAACCCTAAGCCCTAAACCCTCCCAAGACCCTAAACCCTAAGCCTTAAATAGTGGCTTCCATTTTCTTTCCATTATCCCTTTATAGCCCTAAAGCCTAAAACCCTATACCCAGGTGGCTTCCCCATCTTCGACCATCATTATTCGTATTACTAGTATTGTTAGCATTGTTCCCATTATTGCTATTCTTATTACTATTGTTACTAGTATTTCTATTACTGGTATTATTACTACGAAAAGCTCAGGTGGCTTCCCCATCTTCGACCAGGGCCATCTCGGAAGCTGCACCGCCAATGCCTTGGCTGCGGCCTTCCATTTCACCCTTCATAAGATGCTGGACCTTTTTGGGTAGCTTCCCAAAATAGGGGAACCCAATATAGACCCGAAATACTAAGGTTTAAGGATTCAGGGGTTGAGGGTTTAGGGGTACCTTGGATAATATCTACAACACGAGATATATGTTTATATATATATATATTCATTAACGTGGCCCGGATTATAGCCGGTTAATAGGCGGGTTCGGAGATCAGGGATGGGAGGCGCCGTCTAAGATTGAAGGTTTGGAGTTTGAGATACCGGCCTTTTTTTTATTGGGTTTGAACCTTTTGGGGTTTTGAGCATTTTGCTAGTGTTCCGTGCGGGGTATATAAGCTTCTCGGTATACGGCTTTGGATACAAGATTTGGGAGTTGGGAGAAGGTCCGGTGCTTCCTCATTTGTCTCCAGAGATGGGCCTTTTAGCTTCATGTTATCAAGGCAGAAAACGCTCAAGTTATAACCAGGTTATAGAACCTTTTTTAAGGTCAAAAAGTAAAGCACTGTTTCAGACAGGACGAATGTTTCGTAATATGCCTAGCTAGCATGTACAGAACCCTAAGCCCTAAACCTCATAAACCCTGAACGCTGAAGCCCTAAACCCCTAAACACTAAAACCCTCAAACCCAAAACCCTTAAACACTAAACGCTAGGCTTCTACACCCCTACACCCTATGCCCCTAAACCTCTAAAAACCTAAGCCCCTAAACCCCTAAACCCTAAGACTCTGAACTCCTAAACTCCTAAATCCCTGAGCCCCTGAACCCCTGAACCCTAAACATGATCTCAGCGCGCAGTCTGATCCAAGGATGGAGGTGGAGAACCACAAGGACCTAGGGATGTACACTTTATCCCAAACTGGCGTGAGTAGGGGGTTTAGGGGTTAGGGGTTTAGGGTTTAGGGATCTAGGTTTTAAGGTTATGTAGGGGGTTAGATATAAGTTGGGTACTGCCCCCCCTCAGTAACAGTTGGATAATAATTGTAATATGGTTACATTTAGCCCTTGATAGGACCCCTAATATAGACTGTTACTGGGTGGGGGCAGTACCCAAGATATAAGGGTTACGCAGGGGTCATATCGGGTTATGCGGATGTATGTCATAGCGAGGTGAGGGTTCATTGAAAGGTCCTTTTGGGGAAGCTGCTTTGGGGTCCTTACCGGTCTATGAAGGGTTTGGGGTTAAGGGTTTAGGCTGGAAACTACAAGACGGGGGAAGATATGTTCAGTAGTGGCCATTTTTCTTGTTCAACTACCATGCCAGAAGTCTTGCCACCCCCTCAGCGAGTGAGCGTGATGGCCATGGTTCGGGGCTCTTACAAAACGAGCCATGGGATTCAAATTTGCAGCAAGCGCGAGAATAGGCTGGTAGCATATATTCACATATGCTGGAAGGGCCCAATGTGGCTGGGAAATTCTTGCAGCACTATACAGCCTCCACTCGACAAGTTGAAGGGTTTGGGGGGATCACGAGCGCCGCAAGATTCAACACTTGTAGAAGCCGTTACCAAATCAAGTCTCAGGCGGCTGTCACATTCACAGGTTTAGGTTAGGGTTTAGGGTTTGGAAGGACCTAAGATGGATGAGATGTTCTTGAGCTTCTCTAAACAGCCTCTACATGAGAAGTTGCAGTACTTTGGCAACTCTAAGTGCTTAGACTCAGCCGACTTGACACCCCCGCTCGTTCTTCAAGAGACCAGATGACCTATAGTCTAAACTCCATAAGGGGGTTATTTAGGGGACTATATTAGGGCTTATTAAGGGGGATATTTAGACTATAGCTCAGATGGGTCGTTATAGTTCTGAGTCCTCTTTGTAGAGGGCCACCTTTTGGGATGCCTTTCTTGGGGTGACCAGGACTTTGCCGACTTCACCCCAAGCCGCCTGTTCCTGGGTTGCAGTTAAGGAACTTAAGTCAAGTCACCGTAAGGGGTATGTATGTATATATTTATATATATGAGCTATAGTCTAAACTCCATAAAGGGGTTATATACGGGACTACTATAGGGCTTCTTAAGGGGGATACTAGGAGTTTAGACTAGAGCTCGTATAGTAATTAAGATGGTTCCCCCAATACCTTAATAGCAACTCAGGTTCATCTACTACAACGAGCGCTTGGTGGAGGGCAGCGTCGGCCAGGATGCCGGGGCCATGATCCGTGACGGCATCAAGGCTGGGGGTTACTATGCTATTACCCCCGAAGAGTACCTCGAACCCTATTAGGCCTAAATGAAGCCTATATAGTCCTCATTAGCGCTGTGAACCATGGGGGTGTTACTTTTTGGGGATGGGGATTGTACAATAATCCCCTACAAGGTGATGTCGAAGGTGGGTGTTTGCCCAGAAAGCATGTGGAAGTACGACGATGGCCCCACCTTCTTCAAGCAGCAGCCAGATACTAAATCTTACGAGATCGCACAGAAGTGCAGGGTCATGGGCTATGCCCGTGTTGCGCAGGACGGGGTGCAGTTGAAGACATTTAGGGCTACCCATTGGGGTAATATTAGGGTGTATATTTGGGTTATGTAGGGATCATGGAAAATCAAATGGAAACTACTTTAAAGGTGTTTTTAAGGGCTTAGGCTGTGCGTAGGAAATTTGTAGTGTCAGGGTGTAGGGTTTAGGGTTTCTCCCTGGCAGGACTTGAGCCAGATGAAGATGTGCATCAAGAACGGCTACCCCTTCGTCTTTGGATTTGCCGTCTTGTCAAGCTTCCAGACAGCGGAGGTTGCCAGGACCGGCAAAATGGTGATGCCCCAGGCTACAGACCAACAGCTGGGTGGCCATGCCGTGTGCGCTGTGGGCTACGATGACTTCCAGCAGTGCTTCATCGTCCGGAACTCCTGGGGAGAGGGGCAACCTGCTTGCAGCTATTAGGGTTTAGTGTTATGGGGTTAAGATCCGAAGTTTTGGGCAGGCTTTGACCGGGTTTTTGCTTTGGCTTTTGCCCTATGCATTCTGTATTTGTCTGGGCTTGAGGGTTTAGGGTTCGGGTTTCAGGGTTGCGGGTTCAGAGTGTCTTAAGGCACTCCCAAAAAGGAGCCTCTATGATGTTTTTATGTTTGTAAATTCGAATAGCCCCAAATTTTGAGAGACCCGCATAGTGTTCTTTACATAGCTGAAAGCTCGAAAGGGTGCACATCTAGGGCGCAAACAAGGTCCCACAAAACCAACATCTGAACAGCAAAACCAGGTAAAATAGTGGCCCCAAACTCCTTAAACAAGTCGAACATTCCATACTCCACATGCATTTGGGTTGATCCGCGCTTCATTGCTGTCTAAACGCTTTAAAAGGGAGCTATATAGGGTATTATGTAGGCGTGTGGACTATAGTTCATATATATATATATGTATATATATATATGTACACATACATACACACACACACACTCTCTCTCTCTCTCTCTTCGTAGACTCGGAGATTGGCTGACAACAAATCCCCTTACGTCTTGAAAGGCTGCCCGGTCGGCAGAAACCCGAATGCTGGAGCATAATATACAGTCCCCCTTACATAAACATTACATAAACAGAATATGGCCTTGGTTTATTACAATGTTTATTACAATAAGATCCCAATATACCCCATAGTCTATCTACATAAGGGGGGCACAGAATCCCTACTGAGTTGTCAATTACTGACCCAGGGAGAGTTTGTTCAAATCACCGGGCGTATAAATTGCCCCAAGCGCAATATGGGCTCCATACAAGGAACGCAAAACCCTGAGCCCTGAACCCTAAATCCTACTGCAAACCCTAAACCATGTTCAGAAATTGCCAGGTGGGGTGACAAGGGCTACTTCTACATGCCCTACGAGCAGCTTGGTTGTTCAGTCATATGAGCCGTGGTCTGAACTCCTTAAAAGGGAGGATTCTATACGGGATTATATAGGGGATTATCTAGGGTTTAGGGTCTAAGCTCCTTAAAAGGGGATTATTTAGGGGAGAAGTATAGGGGATACAAGGAGCTAAGACTCAAGTTTAGAACATAGCTCATATTATATCCTTCTTTGCTCTGCCCTTGGCCCTTAGCCCAGTAGACGCTTTACCCTCGAAGTTGAACCCTGAACCTACAACTCCGGACAACCCCAAGCGCGAAATACCTAAACCCTTTACGCCTAATCCCCCAAGTCCTCAAAAGCCCTAAAGGCCCTAGAGCCATATAGGCGCCCTTAAGTAGATAGAATATGAGGTATATGGGGATCTTATAATATGCCCAAAGCCATATTCTATCTACTTAAGGGGGATTATTAGCCCAAAACACTCAAGACAAAACCACTAAGACCAGCTCAGGACCCTTAACTGTAGTCTCCTTAGGAATTGGTTTTTTATAGTATAACCCTAAGGAAATATTGAAAACTAGTATTTTGTTATAGGTCTAAGGAGACTACAGTTAAGTCTCAAAGTCTACAACCTTAAAGCCTTCAACCTGCATTTCAATAAAACTTTTGTAATCCTTCAAGTCTCGACCTTAAACGCCAGGTACGTTTAGGGTTTATGGTATAAGCCCCAATACACTGAAACGCCGAATCCTCAAACACTAACATATGCGGTGGATACTCAAGAAACTCCAGCTTCCATGTAGTGATCCAATTCATGTTCCAATGATTTTTCATCATTCCTTACCTATTTAATAGTATTGAGGCAGGACTAGCCCCTACCCCCTAAACCCTAAGCCCTAAACCCTACCCTAAGCCCCTAAAACCCTAAACCCTAAACTGCAGGTACATTTGCCACCCTGCTTTGGCTTCCGACTTTTGGGCCATCAATTGGGTTGAGGGCTTCAAGAATGCTTCTTGGCTGTAGGGTTTAGGGTTTAGGGTTTAGTTTAGGGTCTGTGGTTTTGGGGTTTAGGCTTTAGGTAGGATAGGATTCAGGGTTTAGGGATTTGGATTTCTGGATTGGGGTTTAGGGTTCGGAGATTATGGTTTAAGGTTTGGGCTTTAGGGTTGCAGCTTGAGTCTACTGTTTCGCAGTAGAAGCTGGCAAGCTTCTCGAACACTGCTCGGCTAGAGTAAAGGTTTAGGGTTCTGTGTGCAGAGACTATAACCCTTATATATACCCCATGATAATCGAGTGGTTTCCGTTTTCTTTTCCATTATCCCTATATAACCCCAATAGGACTAAAGCCCTAGACTAAAGGTTTAGGGTTCAGAGCTTCGGGGACTGAACCCTAAACCCCTAAACACCTAAACCCCAAACCCTAAAACCCTAAACCCTAAACCTAATACCCTAGACCAAAAACCCCTAGACCCTAAACCCTAAAGCCCTAAACCCCATAAAAGCGTCCTAAGAATCAGCTGGCCGCGCCTCCAGTTGATTAGTATCGGGTGAGAATTCTTTTCGATTGTGTTACTTGAGAAGGCAAGGTTTAGGGTTTAGGGTCTGGGGTTTAGGGTTTGGGGTTTATGGTTTAGGCTTCGAGGGTGTAGTGTTTACAGGTTTCAGGGTGTAGGCGAGAGCCAGAATCAGGGATAAGCAAAGAGGAAGTTGCTTGGCGATCCTATGTCTTGGAAGTGCCCGACCCAGAACCATAAACCGCATAGCACTTCCTTCCCATTGGCTGTAGTCTCCTTAGGAACTGCTTTTAATTTCTTATTGAAGTATAAGGAATCATTAAACATAATATGTTTATTATAGGTCTAAGGAGACTAGCTGAAATTGGACAGTCAAGGCTGCTACGAAGAGCTTCAAGCTGAGTTCTTAGATCCGCCCTTGGCGTTCTCCCTCCCCTGCTCTACGTCCACATTCGGTGATGAGCTGTGTAGGATGAGGCAGGGGCAGGCTACCTTTTCGATTGCAGAGGCTGTAAGCTACCTTGCGCTGCAGCTTCCCAATCGCTTGTCCCGGCTTTGAGCGCAAGTCTGTGAAATCCAAGCAGCTCTTGACGCTCTTCGCCAAATGCCCTCTTTACAACTGGTCCACCAACGGTGCCCAGTAAAAGTCCGAGATCTTAAGCAATCCGGTAGTTTCCCAAAATGGATCGGACCCTAAGATAGACCCCCAAGTAACCATAATCCTCATTATAGTAGGGACCCCCAGAAAGGTACCCCTAAGTTTGAGAAACCCCCAACTCAAATCCGAGCTGAACTACAGGCTCACGAAGGAGGTGTTCTATTGGGTTTAGGGTTTAGGGTTTAGGGTTTAGGGTTAGTATATTGGGGTTATACGTTATAATGGAAAATCAAATGGAAACTACTATAGTATATTGCGGTTCTATTGGTTTTTGCATTTAGGGTTTAGGCTTGATTATCCCTAGTCCTTGCCTCCTCTGCTGGTATCATCGCATCCTCAATGATGCATCAAACAAGGTGTAACCATCCCTTATGCAAGATAAGGCTTAAGGTTCATGGTCAGGGGGACTTAGTTGAAGTAGGTTCATACTGTGGATAACTAAGGCTATCGTGTGGGCTATTGGGGTTAGCAATCTACTTGCGAAGTACCCCTGCCCCTCCAAGTATTCAGTGCCGGGGAAAAGGGCACGCCATGTGCGGAAGACATTTTTGATAGGATTTGTTCCGTTGATGCGTATGATGTTGATTTTTTTCCTCAATTGAGAGCGCAAAGCAAACCAGAATCCTGCAAGCCCCTATGTAACCCCTGTTTCCATGTGATTTGTCATGGTCTGTTGAAAGCTCTTCACCGTGGCAAGTGTTTCCGAAGACTGTTTGCATCATTGTTGTTTGAGTAGCAAGTATTTTGGCCAGTACAAGTTAGGAGGACCCCCCCACCCTGTAATAGTGGTATAACGGGACTATAAGAGGACCCTCATATAATCCCTATTATCCCTTATAGTCACTATTAGAGGGGGGGGGTCCACCTAAAGTATACCCTAAACCCTAAACCCCTAAACCCTAAACCCCCTATTCTGGCAACGGTGCTGACTCAGTGATGAACTGGTGATGAGTATGCCAGGGGCGCTCAACAGGTGGGATGAAGGTAGGTGGAAAAAAGGATCCCTCTAATAGGGGCTTCGGGCCGAAATAATATGGTATTCATGGTAGTTGGGTCCTAATGCCAGAATATTTGGGTCCTAAGATCCCCATTTTGGACATCAGGGGTTATTTCCTATACCCTGCCTTCGTTTGATTCACCTCTTGAGCCCGTTGAGCATTATGATGATGATGATGACGATGATGATGGCGATGACACTGACAAGCACGCTACGACAGTGGAAGCAGTGGAAGATGCAAGAGACCCGGGGATGATGTAGATGTTTACCGGAATTGGGTTTGCGATCCCTTCTTATACCTTCTGCGGCAGTGGCTTCACCTGCACACATGTGTATGTGTATATATATATATGTATTTAGATACATACACACACACACACAACTCATGCAACAAAGTCTTCCTCCTGGGAATTGAGATCATGAAAATGTTCCTGCTTGAAAACTTCGATAGTGATAATCCATTTCTATTACCTCTACTCTATGTACACCTAGCATCAGTAAGGCTTCCAAATGTAGAGAAGCCCAAACATGGGTAGGTAAACGGGCCTCTCAAGCCCCGAATAGTCCCTACAATCCGCGTACAACAGCACTGCGGGTCTGTAATGCCTATCCTGCAATCCCTAGATAAGCCTCATCTATGATTTCCGCAATTCTGAGGCCTATGTACATATCCCCACATGCCTTTGTGTATGCTCTAGATTCCCCCGTTTAAGCCCACTTATACCCTAAAACCCCCTACTTAAATCCCAACCCATAACTCCTACTCCTTAGGAACTAGTTCCAGTTTTGTCGTAGTGAAACCCAGGGAACTATCGAAGAAATTTCTTGGTTACAGGTCTCAAACCCTAAATCTCAAACCCTGAACCCCAAAGCCTAAACCCCCAAGCCTGAACCTTAAACCCTAAACCCTACACCTTACAGCCCGGCCCCGCGACTTCCCTGCATTATAATAATAATATGCCTAAATAGTAGTTTGCATGTTCTTTTCCATTATCCCTATATAACCCCTATGCATCCCCTATATAACCCCTATATGACCCTAAACCCCTAAACCCTTAGCCCTAAACCCTAAACCCTTAACCCTAAAGCCCTCAAACCCTAAACCCTTAACCCTTACCCCCTAAACCCCTAAACCCAAACCCTAACCGTGTTCCGCATTTGGTCCAAGCCTTCCGGACAACGACAAGGGTCGATCCAACGCTCACTTTCTGTAGAAAGACTGCGGCTTGGCTAGGGCTTAGGGTTTCGGGTTAGAGATTTAGGAGGTATAGGGTTAGGGGTTTGGTGTTTAGGGCTTAAGGTTTGGGATGTTTGGGGTTTAGGGTGTAAGGTCATCATGGATTCTTCTAACCGCTGCCACTATACTGTTCCGCTTAAAGTTATCCTCAACTAACCATAAACATCCCGAAATAGGCCTAGCTCACTTAAGGGCGGAATCCAATCCTGCGTGGGCTATGGCTAGGGTAGACGGTGTAGTAAGAGAACCCTAAACCCTAAACCCTAAACCCTAAAACCTAAACCCTAAACCCTTGGGTCTGAGGCCTAAGTTCTTGGCTTTAGCGTTTACGGTATCCTTGAAGGCGAATTCTACCCCTCAGGTCGTACCCCTAAAAGGTTTTCCCAATCTGGCCTTAATATATCCCTTATCTAGTCCCCTAGGGTTCCTTAAAAGGATACCAAAACCCAGGGGTATAACTTTAGGGGTACAGGCCTGAAACCCTTGAGGAATGGGTCTATGGGAGTGAGAGAGTACACCTGGAGCGGGCCCCTAAACCCTAAACCCTAAACCCTAATGAGTTCTCAACCTCCCTTGGACCAAAACCCTTGGGTTATGTAGGGATATAGGGGTTATATAGGGCTATATAGGGTGATAATGGAAAATAAAATGGAAACTACTATTTAGGTCTTAGGGTATGGATCTATATAGTTTGAAGAGGTTCAAGTTTCAGGCGTTACATGGGAGTTTTCGGGCAGGGCTTGCAGATGGTTTGGGGGGGGGGGCTTGAGCTTTAGAGGGCAGGGTTTGGGGCTCTCGGCACGTTGTCAGGGTGTTGAGCCTTGGGTGTTTCAATAAGTTTTGGATTTAGGGTTACGCGGAGGGTGCAGAAACTAATTAAGTAGGTAAACCGCGCAGAATCTCGAGTTATATGAGAGCCCAAACCCTAAACCCCAAACACTAAACCCTAAACCCTAAACCCTGGCTGGGCTACAAGTCTTCTGACTAAGCCTCCCTGACCCACCCAACTAGTTGTGGGCGGTGCTGAGGCTGTAGGGTTCCCAGATCTTGAGGCAACAAATTCAAAGGTATGGTGTTTAGGGTTTTAAGGCTGAGGGGTCTAGGGATTCAGGGTTCAGGGATTTCAGGTGTTTAGGGTTTTAGGGCTGAGGGGTCTAGGGATTCAGGGTTTATGATTTAGGGTTTAGGGATTTCAGGAGTTTAGGGTTTTAGGGCTGAGGGGTCTAGAGATTCAGGGTTTAGGGTTTAGGGATTTAAGGTTTAGGGTTTCTTGATATTGAAGCTGCACATGGGGCCTGCCCTAAATTGCTTCTGACACGGCTTCCAACAGTGGACTACGCGCCCCTATATGGTTTTCCCCCCTTTGAGTACAGCACGACTGTCTAAACTCCTATGGCGGGGCCGAGTTTGGGATGGTACATGGGTACAATTTATAGACGCGGGTACCATTTATAGACGTTAGACCCCTGAGCAGGTACTGAATCCATACATGGACTATATCTCTCTCTACATATATATAAATATGTATATACAGACATTAGGGCCAAAAGTAGGCATTGCTTGCATACCTGAGTACTACTTACAGGTTTTATGGCCCGCAGTAGGTACTGCTTACATTCATGGATACCTTTTTTTTGGATTTCAGGACCAAAGTTTGGCATTTTTTACATAAGCCCTTAAACCCCAAACCCTAAACCCCAAACCCTACACCCTAAACCCTAAACCCCAAACCCTAAACCTGGTACAATTCATAAACTTCAGGGCCCAGCGTAAGAATCGCTTACAAACTCCGAGCCCCAGCCCAGGAAACCTAGAAGCATCGAAGAGGGTTTAGGGTTTTGGGATTGGGGGCTTTAGGGTTTAGGGATTGGGGGGCTTTAGGGTTCAGGGATTAGGGTTTAGGGTTTGGGTTTTAGGGTTAAGGGATTAGGAATTAGGGTTTTGGATTGAACGATTGGGGATGAGCGTTGAACCACTCACCCGTTTCTACGGCCTCTCTGCAGCCATGTGCTGCGCACTATAGCAACCACTTGACCCTAAACCCTAAACCCCTAACCCTAAACCCCAAACCCTAAACCCTAAAGCCTAAAGCCTAAACCCTAAACCCTAAAGCCTAAACCAGGCACCATGGGAGCCTGCGAGAGCGCACCGGCAACTTGGTAAAACCACGGTTAAGGTGTAGATTCCAGGGCTTAGGGTTTTGGGGTTCAGGGCTTAGGATTCAGGGTTTAGGGCTTAGGGCTTAGGGTTTAGGGGTTAGGGTTTAGGGTGTAGGTTTCAGGGTTTGAGGTTCCGGGTTAGAATTCATGGGTCAGGCAGGGTTTACAGGCGCAGGGTCAAGGCTTACAAGCTCAAAGTTTGGCAGACGGGGAATGTCCATCTAACTTCTGGGAGCAACCCTGAACCTTGAACCCTAAACCACAAAACCCTAAACCCTGAACCCGCTTGCAGTTGGCCAGCTGCTTATATGCAAGTCCCATGAGGCGGCCATACATGAAGGGCTTGGGGTAGTTTAGGG